TGGGAATCAGGATCAGACAAACGCGTGGCCGGTGACTATTCCGTGTGTGTGTGTGTCTGTGTGTGTGTGTGTGTGTATGCGTAAAGAACGACAGTGAGCATTCGCGACTGCGTGCGTGCACGCGCTTTACGTATTTATGAGGCCGTCTTATGGATGAGTCATCCTCCAGTAGCATCACCTTCTCCTCAGTCACATTGCCAACCTCCCATCTCCCTTTCCTCCTTCCTTACAGCCGCGTTTTCCATGTTCACTTCCACAATTACAACCCAAGCGAGACCCTCGCAACGACAAATGAACTTGAAGAGCAGTTCAGTCGCCGAGGATGTAGTCTTGAAAAGAAAAATTTGAATGCGTTGAAATTTTTACAACCTTAAGCTTGGTCGGCGAATTTGATTCCGCGCCACTGAATTTACGCCCTGGTTTGATTAATTTGAGCCACATGTGTGAACTGAACTGGTTGAAACTGAAGCAAATCACCTTACTCAGCTTTATTTTGGGGCATGTTTTTTTTTTCCATATGATTTTGTCCGGTCTCATTTAGAACACAAATGATGGAGCAACCCGCTGGCAGATAATACAACAATGCTCGCAAGCATATGTTCCTTATCCTCTGTGAAGAACAGCGAATATTGTGTCTTCCTGAAGACCGACCGTCTCCATTTGTATCCGTGCGTGTGTATTATACTGCCCCCAGGTGTATCGTGTGTGTCAAAGGTGAGAAGTCTTATCTGTGCAATGGCAGAAGTCTGAAAATGTAAATCTCACGAGATTGCATTTGTGCCTCCTGCTTATGTCACATCAACTGCCATTTTTTTTCGTCGTTCCCAAGCGTCTCCATATAGGGCGGTCGGGGACGTGTTGCGTCATAAACCAAACGCTCCCTCGGAGACCGATCCTCTGCTGCTAAGCAATGAGAGAGCATTCATTAGCGCTTTACGGCCTCGCAGACCCGTCGCTTAATCACAACCTTCCTTGTGCCCGTGTACCTTTTTCGCAGCCGTCCTCGTGCTTCTGGTCTGCAGATGACCTTTTTGTTGATGGCCTTTCAGAGCTGTCATTTTTTTTTTTTTTTTTTTGGTGGGTGTGGGAGGGGGTCATTCTTAGCGGCCCTCATGCTGTGTTTTGTTTGTGTGTACTGTTTGCATCATTTGCCGGCGTCCCCGAGTTTACATCTGTTTCCTCTTTGGAACACGAGGAAACTCTGCGATGGCTCGGCTTCACTTGAACGCAACCCCAGTCATTCCCTCCTGGCTTTGGCCCAGTGCAAAGCCAGTCTGATGGAGACGCAAGTCAGAGCCAAGTTCCTCAATTTGGAATCCTATTTTTTATTTTTTTTTACATTTGAACTGTGGGGCTTCCAAGAAAGTACACATCCACGCATGGATTCTATTCTAATCCCGAGAGACACACAAAAAAAATGGAATGATAGACATGCTAAGAGCTGCCAAGGAGGTGATATTTGATTGTCGACATCTGCAATTGTGTACACGGTAAAATGATGAGTAAAATATGAATATGCCGACAAAGATCACTTCACTTATTTTCCACGAAACGGAATTTTGGTGGTGAATAGGCCAAGGAAAACCTTTCAGAAGTGCACCGACGAGGACCTGATGCACACGCAGTGAGACGACTGCTATCTGGGTTACTCCGGCCTCCCATCGCTCCGCTGCAGATGAATATTAATAAGGCGTTATTAATATCCGCTGGCTGTGTGCGCGTGGCAAATGTGTGCGGGAAGGTCGGCTCGGAGGCGCGAGTGTGAGCAAGCCGTCCTCCTCCATCTCCAGTTTGGACTTGCTCGTGACTTTGTTGGTTCTTCCGCGCTTTGCTCGCGCTCTCGCCCGCTTTCGCCTCCACCGACTCCACAGTGCGGTGTCAGTCACGTTAGCGTGGAATTAACGTTGCCGCTTGTTTCATAACTTCAGGAGCCGTACTTGGCGCTACTTAAATCAATACCGGAGCATTTTTACTTCCTCTCATTTGACGAAGGTGTGCCTAATGTTGTGGCCGGTGGTTCTGCGTGTTTAAAGCAGCATCTTTCTTTCGATAGTGAGCTCAGTTGTCCCTTTGCTAGCTATGCGATTATTTCAAATTGCACTTCGTATTGTCAAATAAAATCGAAATAACTCAACAAAATGCAAATCTGCTAATTTGCATATTGCTGAACAACGTCCCTTAATAAAAAAGCAATCATAGATCTAATCGTCATGAAATAACAAACCGCAAAGTGCACGCCACAGCGAATTTTCCAATGCTGTCACTCATACCCGACACACACGCACCTGCAGCACTTGGCTGCACGCCACCCATGCGCGTGCGACGCGTTTCATGAATAAATCCACGTGGCGTTCACAGGCGAGGCACGCCGAGCGGCACGAGATGTCAGTTGCGCCGTTAGCCTCCCTCCCAGACGACACTTAGCGCGCGACCCTTTTTTGTTGACGGGGCGAAATGGCCCGCTTGGAACCGCGATTGTTAGAGGCGAGTGCGCCGCTTTCAGAGACGACGGAAAGGCCATTTGTTGTGCGTGTGCGGGAAATTGACAACAGACCCCGTTACTTTTGTCCATTAGCGTTCGCATTTGTTTCAATCATGCCGCACACGCGTGTGACCGTTGCGTGTCTTTCAACGAATGCCTTTGTGCGAGTGTTCCAAGGGACGCGGGTGACGGGTGGGCCAGAAAATGGGCCCACTGAGCAGATATATGCTTATTTATGTGCACGCCAGAGCATTCTGCTGCGTTTACGCGCACTTGAATGAATATAAAGGTTGCAAAAGTCATTCCCCTGTCCCGTAATACACCTCTCCGCCAAGATTTATGAAGATCTCCCAGGTAGTCTATTTGCAGTCCTCCAAAATAGCAAGGCAACTCCGAGGTGACACAATAAAATAGAGCAAAGCAATACAGAACAACATCGGCTAGCTTCATGCTCAGACCCAATTGGAAACGCTAACCGGCTAGCAGCATGATTACACTCCGAACAACCGATGTACTGAAGGCAAACTGTTGACTGACTATTCGTGTGTGCGTTATATTCTTTATCCCCTGCAAAGAGCGAGTAATATTACAGCTTGCTTACAGAGGTTGTGAAACTCTTTTACGTTCATAATTGGATGTTACAGCCCCTGGTGGACATTTTTGTCGACACTCCAAAAAACTGTTTTATGAAACGCAATCTTATGGAAGGGACGAAAAAATCGGAACCTCTCGAAAAAACCGAGACTGGAAAAAAAAAAATAAATGAAATCTCTCTTGACAAGATGAAGTAGATGCCATCCAAACAGTCGGCGTCGCCCCTTGTGTCGGTTTTGTCAGCCGTCGACGGGAGATTAATCAGCGGCGAACAGATCGAGAGCAGTCGCTTTTTCATTGTGCTCGTGCGAGATGGCACATGAATTGGATAAAAATAGGATCGGCTTTAAAAGCGACGTTCGCGGTGACAGCGATAATGACGGCGTGTCGTGTGAAGCACAGAGGAAATGACAATCACACTTTCTTGCTCACCAAAAGACCGAAAGAAGTCCATTACGCCCCCCCCTCAATCTTTTCATTATTGCTATTATTATTTTATTTGCGCTCGATAAACAGCTGCCTCCTCGCCGGTGTTGACGGTCAATCGCGAGACCGAAATAGAGAGAAAATGGCGAGGAGAGGGTGACAGGAGGCAGAAAGGGACGGGATGGAAGAAAAGATGGACGCTCATGTGTTGGTTAATTCGGTTCTGATCAGCTGTCGGCATCGGTTCATGGACTGATCATGACATCATCGCTGTGCGCCCGAATGGAAGCTTACGAAAAAAGTTGTGTAAAAATCAGCTCTGTACGGTTTTTACCGAACAAACAGCCACGTAAAACCTTTGGAGCGCGTCTCCGCGTGTGTCATTTGAGAGCGCTGAAGTGATAACATCTGTCTGCAGTCTTTATCATGAAATAGATAACGGCTCCACTGACTTTTTTTTTATTTTTTTTTTTTAACTCTCTCTGTTGGCTTCACTTCCACTGTGGACTTCTTCTTATCCACTTCCAGAATAATACCTCACCGTGCAGCATTTTCGGATCTAGTTTTAACATTTATGCTCGATTTAAATCAAAACGAGCAAAGGTGAAACATACGCATTTTTATGATAATTTTTTTGTAATATGTGAAGGATGTGTATAATCTGGAGCAGGGATGAACATTTTTGTGCACATTGTGGGCGGAGAGCGGAGGGGGCGCTGAGCGGATATTAAACGTGTCTTTAATCTGGCTAAGCAGGCAGCTCGAAGGATCCGCTCTGCGTTTTTTTTTTTTTTTTTATTCACCGCGTCGCTTTGCGCGAATGTAATCTGCTCGAGATTATTGTAATGCCGTCGCTGACTCTGCGGCGAGCGTTCTACAATTTGACACTCTTGTTGGAAAGTCGCGATTGACCGCGCTTGGGTTGTCTGTGTTGGAGAGAGAGAGGTCGAATGGGCCGCAGGTTGGAGATTAAAAGCGAAATCTGTTGCGTTGTCGTCACGTAGCGGCTGTCTGCTTCTTCCTTGACAATCACGCCATGTTTTTGTGGTTCAGGACAGTATATTGTATGTGCAGTTTGCAAAATGGGGTCCGAAGCTACAAAACCAAAGCGTTTAAATATTATTGTAAAAAAAAAAAATACTGACATATTAAATCACAGTTGCAATCGTGAGGCGGGGAAAAAAAAATCTCGTACTTCAAGTTACAAATATTCCAATAAAATGTGGATGTGATCGTCTCAATCTTAATCTTCGCTCCCCGTTTCTGCGTTGCAGGCTCCGACTACTCTCCCCCTCCCACCCTCCCTCGCCCTTCTGCCCCCGGACTGACCAATGAGCACCCGGGCGCGGGTGACCGCGATGGAGGCGGGGGCGGGGTCAACCACGGCGGGGTGGGCGTGGTGGGCCTGGCCCCGGAGCACATCGCCACGCCGGGCGCCGCTCTGAGCTGGCAGG